CTGACTCATTACGTCAGTACTACAGAGTTTACTACATCCGGCGTGAGGTAGGCACAGGTGGGAGTCATCACTATGACAATAAATAACAGACGTCATTCATTCCATTTGTCAATCATTGATGGAAACACGCGAGGTTTCCCGAAGTTATCTCAAAGCGAGAGATAGTCGCAGTCAGCAGGTATCTCGAGTCGGTTTTCGGCGAAAATACCAGCTTTTCACTGCTCATGATCTCAGCGTAGGGGCATCGTAGGGACATGCGGTTTGTTTTATATTAACAAGGTAGGACAGCTGATCAAAGAATTGTCAAAATAAAACAGGGAAAGTTTCATTAATTCGACTAATACTGCAACATGGTTTCAGCATTTCACCATTGTACGCTCTCCTTCTTAATACGCTCTTGATATTATATAGGTTTAACAGAAGCAAGTACATAAATAGGCATATGTGTAAACATCATAGCTAAACATTATACTTATAAGCAAGGCATTTTAGTGAGTTATAATTATTATTCCTTATGTGTAAATATGATGTTTATAAACATAATCGTTAAAAGCATGATATTCATGTGATAGGAAGTCATAACCGACAAGATGACTTCATCAGCTGTAGTAAGTCTATGTTGAGAATGTTCAGTTGTTAAATCCTAATCGCACTGACTATATAAACCTCCGTAATCCAAGCTCTAGCAGTCATTTACTTATTTTGGTGTGAGTGGCCCAATCAACTTATGAGTTTTGCTCTAATGCAAATTTGAAAAAAGTAAATAAATGCTGCTTTTACAATTTTGGAGCAGATATAATGTAATTATTGAGTCATCCCGAACCACAATAAAAATATTAAATTTGGTGTGCCTTGTTTATAGTTGCAGTTTCCTTGATTATTTCCAATTAACATTGCAGTTGTAGTTCCAAGCAATTGCAATAGACATAATATGAGTGTTTCTTTCAGATCAATGTAATGTTTCACCAAAACTTCATCTATGTTCAGAAACTCAAGATAAAAACAAGAGGTACTGTAGTTCCCACGTACCATCGAGTTACTGTCAACATAATAATAGAACTTCTATTATTATGTTGACAGTAACTCGATTAAACTTTATTAAAAGGTGTTGTAAAACGGTTTTGTGAAAACTGTATATATTGCTGACAAGAACCATTATAATAATACAATTATATAGTGGCATGGTGCCTGCATATTGACATGTTATATATGTGTCCATATTATATACGTGTGCATATAGAGCTGTTGCTTCTATGTTATATAAACTGATATCTAAAACCGAATAAAATAGTTTTCCATAGAAGTATTATTTCGTTCATTTCCTCAGAAAATGACGACAAACATCACCATGCAGCGACGAACATCGTGCACAATGTACTAGCATTAGTTAGTAACAACATGGGTGGCATTTACATACTATGTTTGGGCACCTATGTTTTGTTCACCTCGTAACCTTGTACATATTAATTTCATTTTAATAGTCCAAAGAAATTAATGCAACAATGTCTGTACCAGTTTTCTCAACATTTAAGTATGCTTAGAATTTACGAACCATTTTAAACGTGATTTTTTAATTATATAGACATTTTAATTGGATCTAAGATGTATACTCAAATAAACAGAGGTATGTACATTGTTTTTAGAACAAAAGGAACACATAACCTGAATTATCTGGAAACAGATAATTTGTTTACGTGAGTTAATAAAACTTGCTATTTGATCAGATCAGTTTATGCCAACCAGAATATACTAAAATGGCACAAACACCAGTGTTGGTATTATAAAGTACAAATTCAGTAAAATCATGTAAATATTTTTGCACATACACTACAAGAAAAGTGCTGTGACTAATAATTACCAGTGCTGTTGTGTTATCATTAAATATTCTTATTATTACAATCTCAATATTTCAACTCGAAATCCTCGATTTTTCAAAATTCGTTGGTTACATGATGAAACATTGAAAAACTTTTTTTTAGAAATATAGCTAGTCATCCCACATACACATTCAGCCTCCTTTATGTGCAGAATAACATAAGATTTACTCTCACACAACAAATATCAGTCAGCCTAGCTGAAATATGGACATCTGGTAACCCCAGTATGGAATGGTGGGATTTATTTACCTCAATGGGCTTTCATCAGTTTCTTGCGTCTACTCTGCACAGTAACTCTGTCATCGTCGTCATCATCTTTTGGCCACACCAAAGAATAGCCTATTATCATCCACACTATGGATATACCTAGATAAGGACAACAATTAAAAATGTGATTATGAAAAAAAGATGTCAGTTTATCAATCATAAGTAGATGCATGGAGACAACAGCTTATAGAAGAACAGTGCTACTGATGTAGGCTGGGGAGTGCCAACGCTAAATGCAAAATTATGAATCAAACTAATATATATATATATATATATGTAAGATCACCTCATTTAATGAGCAAAAATGGTCTTGAAGACATTTTATAAGAAACCCCCAATAAGCTGTCAAATATAGTAAATTGTATTTTTAACAAACTGCCATGCCCTGTAGCCCTCCTGCATTCGACACCTCAATTTGGAGAAAAATGCATAAACATGCTTAGCCTATAACAAAATTTTTTAAATAAATAGCGTAACATGTTTTGCAGGTGTTCAGAATTAGAACGGAGGCTGGCTGGGGTTGTTTTGGGGGTGGTCGGTGTAGACGGAGCGTCACGCATACTTGCGACTGCATTGATTTAGCAGCGGAATCGCAAACGGTTTTTGGTTAGGCAGTTCTAGGATCATTGGAACGGGGAAGGACGCGTCCGGGAAGAACCGTACATGTCAGCAGAAGTAAGAGTTGGGGGAATATATAGACAGAGATGTAGAGCAGAGGGTCGATTGTGGCGCGGAAGGGAGCACACGCGCATCGCGCGTTGCGTGCTTGTGAAAGTGGGACTCACACTGTCATATATGAAATTTATTCCGGACACACTAAGTCCGCGTTATTGTTGACCTTGCTTTATATTTGGCCCCCCGACCCCTTGCGACACACAACTTTGGCTATATCAACATTCCTCGTCACATTTGGGCTCGTGGACAGACACACGCCCGCCGGCCCCCCACGCAGCGTTAATAGGGAGCATATCCTTCCCCCCTTTGAAAGCACTCCCTATCTCACCAGGACTGCCAAATGATTTTGAATCCCCCTTTCGCGGGCCTTGCGACGTTTTCTCCCTTGAACCTCAAACCGGGAACACTACTATACGACGGTAACCGTGTCGCCACCGGTCATCCGTACGTATCCTCCACACTGACTAGCTGACTAGGGTCAACGATGAACGATATCGGTATATCGTTGCAATATATTGAGAAACCGATATAATTCGCATCCCTCCGGATATCGATATTTAGATACGGTGGATAACAAGAAATAAAATTACTACCACTTGCCATTCGTCATAGTTAATCGGCTTCGAAAATAGCACTGGCGGGTTCATATAGAAAGCCACAATGCCTGCACGACGCATAACAGTATACTGTAAATTTCAACCCACTTCAGGAGCCCTGCGCGGTACTACTGCGCCGTCAAGTGGGGCCAACCGTGCCGCGAGGCAGAGAGCCACCGGCAACAGGGACATATAATAGCCTATTCCACTGAGTCCCCGCGCGCGCGCGACTACAAGCTAAACGAGCACCCACTGTCAGTTTCAGTTTCAGTTCAAAGTACAGTACATTACCCATATGCAGTACAGGGGCGACTCCAGCACGCCATGCCTTCCGAGAGGGTATCCGGTGTCATATCAGGCCGTACACGGAATAATGCATATTATCACATGTTTTGTCTATAACTCAATCACGATGAATCACGTTCGTGACGTCACTTCCATCTGTGAAGAAGATTGAAGGCGGAGAGGGGAGAAGGAGAAGGCTGGGGAAAGAGAAGAGGAAAAGCTCTGCGAGAAAGGCCAAGGAGAAGGAAGGGAGACCGCGACGAGAGCTGTGAGAAAGAGGAGGGAAAGGTGAGAAGGAAGGGAGAAGGAGGTGTTGCCGGAGGAGGAGAGAAGCATGTGATAAGGAGCGGAGAAGCGGTGGGAAGGAGGAAGGGCAGAAGGGAAAGGTGGTGTGGAGGAGGAGGAGAAGCTGTGAGGAGGAAGGAGAAGCGTGAGAAGAGGGGATAAGCTGAGAATCAGAAGCAAGAAGTGAAAGCTGAGAAGAGGGAGTGGTGAAAGTGTGTAAGGGAAAGGGTGAAGGTGAGAATAAAAGTGCAAGGAAAGGACCTTCCCTGCCACCTTCTCCACCGACCTCCTCCTCTCCACCACGCTCCCGACCGGACTTGTCCGTGCGCCGTTCCGGTGGCCTTCTCCACCAGCTCTCCACCACCTTCTCCCTTCCACCCCCCCCCTCTCCACCAGCTCTCCCCTACCCTCCACCGGCGATACACTAATTGTTATAAACACAAACCACGTACAAAATACAACATATCTC